TTAATTTTTATCTGTATTTAATGGAACCCACTAATCTACACAAACCCCACCAAAGCCAAAAACCCACCACCATCTTCGACAACCACCACAACATCTAACAACAACAATTACCTCCAACAAACAATTCCAAAAAACTTACTAGAGAGGAATCTAATGACATCACATCCAACAAAATCCACTATTTCCTTCGCCGATTATCAAGAAAAATTGTAAAATTGAAAATGATTTTGTACCTTAAATACATAAAAGACAAAGAACAATGGAAATCGAATTCATGTCAAACCCACAACACATTCCTATCACCCATGTAAAAACACAAAACAAAAAAAAAAAGCAAAACAATTTCATGCTTCCACCACCACTTGTGTGTCAGTCCCATTTCTATCACAGAAAAGACATTCCAATGCATATAAAGAATGACATGGTTGGAACTTGAATAAGCATAAGGTTGACTAATATTTTCTTCACCTAAAAAGAAAATCGTTAATAACATGGTTCGCTTTCTTTTTAGGTGAAGAAATGTGAGTCCACCTTATGCTACTTGAGTTTCCAACCATGTCATTCTCTATATGCAAGTTAATGTCTTCTATGGTTACAGAAATGGGACGGTGGCACACAAGTTGTGGTAGTAGCATGAAATTTGTTTACTTTTTTTGTTCTGTGATTTTACATGGATGATGGGAGTGTGGCACAAGTTCGACATGAATTCTATCTTCATTGCCCTTGTTTGTCTTTTATGTATTTAAGGTACAAAATCATGTTCGATTTTACAATTTTGCTTGATAATCAGCCAAGGAAATAGTAGGATTTTTTAGGATGTAATGTCATTAGGTTCCTATGGGATTTCTCTTGTAATTTTCTGGAATTGTTTGCCGGGGGAATGATTTTGGATGTGGTGGTGGACTGGTGGTTGGTGGGGTTTATGTAGATTAGTGGGTTCCATTAAATACATATAAAAAAATTAAAAAGAAACGCATAAATATTAAAATTAATTTTAAAAAAAATTATAAGAATGTAATAGTTTTTTTTAGGAGAGCAAGCATTCAAAAAATAATAATAAAATAAAATTAAAAAAAAGAATACCCAAGTAAAAAAAAAAATTGTGACCAAATTATTCCAAACCATTGTTACCAGTAATCCCTCCTAACCTAACTACCTCATCAATTTTTTTACTTTCTTTTTCTTCTATCTTTCCCACCTCACACCTTATGGAAACTTTATTTTTTTGAACTCATTCAACTCACTTTCCATATCATTCTTTTTTTTTCATCTTTTTTTTGCTAACTTTAAAGAAATTCTAAAAAATATTAACAATAACATTTAATATTCTTTTTCATTTAATTAAATTAGAAGATATAAATTAAAATAAAACATAACATTTTTTTGATTTTTTTTTTTTGCTAATTTAAAAGAAAGTTCTGAAATAATATTTAAAATAACATTTAATTAAAAAACCATACTACAAATAAAAAACACGATAATTATAAAACACAATAATTAAAAAAATACACTTAAAAAAGACAACATAATTTAAATCCTAAAACGACAATTAAAATTAACTAGTTATTATCTAGATTTGGAATGTAGATATGTTCAATGTGATCAGTAAGATCAGATTGAAGTTGGTGGTGGGTTTCAGCATTGCGCGATTCGTATATTATTTCTTGGTCATCAATTTCATCGGTGGGGGGATCGGGCTGATACACAGGAGATATTGCAATGCCCTCATCTTTCAATATCATATTGTGTAGTATAATACAAGCGTATATTATATTTTTTGTTTTCTTCACTGTCATAGCCCTCATCTTTAAGGACCCCCAAAAGCACATTCTACATCATTTCTTGCTGATTCTTGTGTAACATCCGGATTTTACCAGGTATCTTGTAAGTTTAAATTTTGATATTTTGTGAGAGGGACTCGGCGAGTTGGAGCTCAGACTCGCCGAGTAGGGACGCGGAATTGATCGCGGGTGCGCGCTTGGACTCGGCGAGTCTGCGCTGTGTAATGAAACCCTAAATCTCCGGGTTTGAGGCCTATTTAAAGGGCCTTATGGCCGTCATTTGTGCTCACCCAACCCCCAGAGAGTGTCCCTAGAGTTCTTGAGCGTTTTGTGAAGGAAAGAGAGCCATTCTTGATCTTGTGTGTATTGTTTAGCAAGAAGAAGAAGACCCTAGGCAAGAGGAAGCAAAGCAGGCCGCCATTTCGTGGACTTGGAGCTTAGATCATCACTCTAGAGGTATTATTTCGGACCATTTTCTGTTTAGTGAAGATTGATGCAATTTAGGGCTTAATGTGGTCATTTATGGGGTGATTTGGTGCCCATTGGTTCCCTCTTTGAGTTGAGACCATGGATCTGGATCCATAGAGGTCCAGAGGGCCTCACTCATCAAGCTTTATGGGTGGAAATGTAGTCCTTGACCTTGTGTTGAAGTATTTGAGTCAAAAACATCATTTATGGTCGTGTAGAGGTTATATGTGCATCAAGATTGTGACTTTACGTGCTAAATAAGCTTGGAGGGACTGGATCTATGGATTAATGGACTGGATCTGACCTTTAGAGCAAGATTGAGTCAGTGCATGGCACGGACTCGCCGAGTCCGAAGAACAGACTCGGCGAGTAGCATGAATGTTGCACGACCACTCAGCGAGTGGCCTCGCCGAGTTGGGAAGGGTGAACTCAGTGGGTCAAGGGGGAGTCAGGATGGACAGGTGGACCGAGTCAAACTGGACTCGCCGAGTTGTTCTTGAGACTCGGCGAGTTGAGTCGTGGTGGCCCCACAACTCGTGCCAGGTGGAACTCGTCGAGTTGAGGGAAATGCTCGACGTGTCAGGGGAGGGTTCCAGGGAAATTGGTGCATGCGCTCAGACTCGCCGAGTCGCTATAGTGCACTCACCGAGTCCGGTCAAAGTTGATCGTTGACCGTTGACCAGCGTTGACCTAGATTGACTTGTTATAGTGTGGTCAACCCTAGTTGGGAAAGTGTTAATTAGAGATGTATTGTGCTATAGGGGGACTACAGCTCGGCAGATCGAGTGTTTAGCGATTTCAGGGTTACGATTTACCGAGACACGCGAGGTGAGTCTTCTCACTATACTTTACCTTGAGTAGGTAACCAGAGCTATGTGATAGAGTATTTGTATGCTATGTATGTTATGTGTTGTACTGCATGATTTCTATGTGATTTATGTGGTGCATGTTTATCAGAGATAGAACCTGAGGGTTCACAGAGTTTGGGTGCACGGACCCACAGAGTTATAGCCTAGAGTGGCAATATGTGTTATATGTGGTATTTTGGGGAACTCACTAAGCCTTGTGCTTACAGTGTTGATGTTATTTATTTCAGGTACTAGTGACGACCGCAGGAAGGCGCCGGCTTGATCCGTACACACACGTTTGGATCTTGACATTTTGATCTTGGGATTTTGTACTGTTTGTTGAACAATTAAAATGGTTGTTTTTATGAATATTGGTGAAATTATGTTTTTATAAAAATCGAAAAATTTGTTTGAAAAATTTGGTGTTACAAATTGTGCCACCTTGAGCCGTATCTTTTTGTCGGTAACTGGATATAGACATGCCTTCGCAAATACAGCCCATGATGGATATATTTCATCTGCAAGATAGTAACCATGTTTGTAGTGTTCACCATTCAGATAAACTGAACAATCGGGTCCTATTCCATGATATTTCTCATCAAACAATGGTGATTGGTAGAGGACGTTTAAATCATTGTTAGACCCGGCTGCACCATAGAATGCATGTCAAAACCATATATCTAGTGACGTCACCGCTTCTAGTATCATTGATGGATATTGATGTTCACCCCTCATGTATTGGCCTCTCAATTCTGTTGGACAATTCCTCCAATTCCAATGTGTGCAGTCAATGCTACCAAGCATTCCACAGAATCCATATCTTGCTTCATGTGCTTCATACAAAACTTGAATGTTAGTGGATGTTGGACAGCGTAAATATTCAGCCTTATACATTTGGACAACACCGTAGCAAAAGTTTTCAAGAGCTTCACGAGAAGTTCTTTCTGACATACTCAGATACTCATCTAACGAGTCTGGGTTATAACCCTTCGCTAATTGACGTATTGCTTATGTGCATTTTTGTAGCGCACTGAAACTTCTTTGATTTGTTGCATCACATGTTGTTTGAAAATAAGGATAATTCGTCTCCAGGTCACCAACAAGCCGCATAAACAAACCTTTGCTCAAATGAAATCTTCTGTGGAATTGTTCATGACCACATGTTGATTTATCTGCAAAATAATGTCGGATCAGCAGTTGTTCCGCCTCTAAACGATCTGTGTCGATTGTGTTTCTCCTTTGAATGTTGCTTGAACTAGCATTATTCTGAAGAAGCAGTTGTACAGTACGAGACAATACAAGTTACAAATTATTGTTGATAAGTTCATCATAAGATGATGAACTGTGATCGTTAACTTCCATTACTATTTTCCGAATGTTTGGATTTATTTTGACAAAAGAGAAAAGATAGAGAGAAAATGAAACAAACATACATATATAGATAATGAAACAAGCATAACTATATATAGATATAATAAAACAAGGATACATAAAGAGAATCTTAATAAAAAGAAAAATAAAAATAAAAAAACATAATAATAGAGAGAAAGATTCTTCAGTCATATGATGTCGACATTTTGAACTTCACGGGTTCTCCAACTATACTTAGTTGCAATTTGTCGTTTCCTTTCAAGCACTGTGCGCAAAATACACTGTCATCGTTAACTTCTGTTACTATTTTCCAAATGTTTGGATTCATTTTCACAAAAGAGAAAAGATAGAGAGAAAATGAAACAAACATACATATATAGATAATGAAACAAGCATAACTGTATATAGATAATAAAACAAGGATACATAAAGAGAATCTTAATAAAAAGAAAAATAAAAATAAAAATAAAAATAAAAAACATAATAATAAAGAGAAAGATTCTCCAGCCATATGATGTCGACATTTTGAACTTCACGGGTTCTCCAACTCCCAACCATACTTAGTTGCAATTTGTCGTTTCCTTTCAACCACCATGCGCAAAATACCTCCAGTCAAATGATCATGCGACCAGAGAAAATACTCCATATCTTGGTTCTCTATCTCCCGATCCAATAATTGAGCTTTTCGTTCTTCATTAGCTTCGAGAATGCATAATTTTTGTTCCCGATATCGTTGTCTTTGTTCCGCCTCTGTTTCGGTTGCAGTCTTGATGCCGACAATTTGTTTGACAAGATCAAACATTTCATTTTTTGTTGATGATGTCGATGTCGCTTTCTTTCCTTTTCTTTTTCTCTGGGGCGGTGAGTCTTCAACACTAAACAGCTGTTGTTGTTGTTGGGGAGAGAATCCAGGAGGATATTGTGGATCAGATGATGATTTGTAGGCGTTGGATGAAGATGTTTTGGTTCGTTTCAAAGAAGGAGGTGGGGAATCTTCACCCACTTTTGCAACAAATGCCCATTTCGCGTTGTCTTTCAACCACTCCCAAGCTTTTTCATGAGGAAATTCTTTTTTAGTTAATAGTCCTCCGATACTCACTTAGTGAAGATTGTAATGCATCAGCCTTAGATCTCCCGTTAGCCACACTGTTCATCTCACGGTTATAGATGTCTTTGAAAGCATTACATTTCTTTTGAAGGTCTTTCCATTTTGAGTTTACTTGGTGTCGTGACCGATCCAAACCTCCCATTTGAACATTAAAATGCGCTAGAAACCTCTCCCAAAATGCATCAAACCTTTTTTAATTTCTGCGTTGTTTATCTTTAGAAACATCGACATATGCCCTAACCAAAGCCAACTCTTCGCGTTCCACCCATTTCTTTCGCTTCTGACAGTGTGTATAGTTGCGTTTTTTCTCAGCAATGGGTTGCAACTCCTCGCTGGTTTCTTCTTCGTTTCTTTCGAGAGTCGGGTCGTCACTAGAACTGTTAGATTCTTCATTCTGAGCATCACGAAACTGAAAATTCTCGGGTTGAGAAAACTGATTCCGTGGATTATAACTCTGATTTTCCTATGGAAGCCAAAGGTGATGTTTGTTTTTTCTGATGCAAAATGTCTGCAGTCTGCGGATCACATCTGTAGACCCCTGTAGTAGAAGAGGTGGACCAAACGTTTGCAGTCTGAAAAAAGAAGACTGTTTGTTTTTTTAACATCTGCGGGCTACTAAAATAAATTGAAATATAAATAAACTGGTTTTTTTTTAACTTCAAAGTGATTTTTTATTATTTTTGTAGCTTTGTTATAAATAATTAACGAATCTAGATCAAGTTTTATTTATTATTGTATAAAAAATAAAAATAAAAATGGAATGAATTAACATATATATTTGATAAAAACCAACAACTTTGGTTGTAAAGTTATAACTAAACATTATAATTCGTGATCAAAGAAATAAATGGACGGAAATAAACTTTGAGTTTTTCAATTAAATCTATTAATAATGTACCATAAATATTTTCTAGAAAAAATGACGATATTGTATTAAATAATATTTTACAAAATTTGGCAAAAAAAAAAATATAAGATTATATTATGATTTTTTTTTCATATTTATATAAACAACTTCAACGACTATTATTATAATAATAAATTTTTATTTACAAACTTGTCAAAAATATCATGTTTGTATCGTCGAATAGTTTTTTTTTTAAGTTTTGTAATTTTTTATTTCAAATTGTTTATCATTAATAAAGTTGGAAAAATATAAATTAAAAAAAACTTAAAAAAATAAAGATATATATGTTTTTTTAGGTTAGAAGATGTTAGAAGACTATGGTCCACATCTGTACCAAGAAGAGAGCGTCCAGACATTTTTAGGTCTGCAGTCATCAAAAAAACAAACAGTTTGCGAAGGCTAATGTCTGCGCATGGTCTGTGTGGCGCAGACAGAAGAGGCTACGCAGATCTGCAGACAAAAAACAAACACTACCTAAATGTGTTATAAGATTGTTGCGCCGAGAAATATTGTTATTGGTAGTTTTGGTATTGCTGGTAGTTTGGATTTTGAAAAGAGTAAATTATACAAATGGTCCTTATGGTTTGGGTTAATTTGCACGTTTGGTCCCTAACTATTTTTTTTTAACTCAGAAGGTCCCTACAGTTTGTATTTGTTACGTGCTTGGTCCCTACAGTTTGTTTTTTGTTACGCACTTGGTCCCTGTCTTATCTAAAACGATTATTATTTAAATAAGATAAAATGGTGGGGTAGGTAAGGTAAGGTGAGTGGGGTGGGGTTGGGTGTGTGTTTACTTAAATAAATTAAAATATCAAGGAAAAAATAGTATATTTAGGTAAAACAGGGACCAAACGCGTAACAAAAACAAACAGTAGGGACCTCCCGAGTTAAAAAAAATAAGTTATGGACCAAACACGCAAATTACCCTAAACCATAGGGACCATTCGTGTAATTTACTCTTTTGAAAACCTTGAGAAAAAAATGGAATATTTTGACTTGAACCGCATTGTGTGGATTTACGTTTTTTGCTAGAACCGGTTTGTTTAGATTTGTCTTCGGAATCCATTGAATGTAACTAAAGGAATCGAATGAAATATAAAATTTTATAGAGTAAAAACACTACAAACAAATGAAATATGTATTATGTATTTATAAACTTCTAAAACAAAATAAATAAATAAAAAGAATCGGTGACTACGGTCAAATGGAAAGTATATATAGTCAAAGGGATAGTAACCTTTAATTGAATTGAAGTAATGGTGCACCAATCTTTTTACTTCTAAAAAAGTATTTTGCATTCATTCACAAGAGGGAAATCTGCGAAAAATTCCCAAATTTTTTCCCCAATTTATGATTTAGTCCTAAATTAAATTTTAACTTATGAAAAAGGACAGATTACCGGCTAATACACTCAGTTTAGCCCTAAGAACCGGTAATCCTAATAAGAGATGGTTACCCCAGCTCATTGACCTTATCACCTTCCATTAAACACCTCGTCATCAACTCCTCTTCTGTAAAAACCCCTTCTTACCCTCCATCGAAGCAAAACGATACTTGAGAAGAATCAATGGTAAGAAAATTCGTGTGGTCCTCCAATATCGTGTTTCCCTTAAAATATTTGATTAATTTTTGTTTTGTAGTGATAATGGAGACAGTACATGACTTCGATACCATTGACGTGAAATTGGATGAGTTTTTCAAACACAAACAAAGAAGTCGATGCAAAGATGAGTTCCTAAATACTCTCACAGACGAAGCGCTTGACGAATGCACCATACCTGAGATAAACCTAAATGATTTTGAAGGAATGTCAGAAGATGAAGCACCGCAGGACAAGCAGAGTGATAGTGAAGGTGACGATGAAGACAAATTGCAGTTTCAATACTCAACCATGATCCGAAGGTGAAATGGAACAATATGAAGCTACTTCTTGGAGAGAGGTATGAATCACCACACCAACTGAAACTTTGTTTGACAAATTACTCTATAAGTAGGAGTTATCCAATTAGGTTCAAGAAATGTGATAGTGTAAGGCTCGTGGCTGTATGTGCAAGTGATCGTGAGAAATTTCAATGTCCCTTTGTTGTAAGGGACTCATGGATGAGCACTGAAAGATCATTCCAAATCAAAAAAATGGTTGAGAAACATACCTGTGTTAGGAATTTCCGTAGTGCTAATCTTATGGATCCCACATGGATAGCTAGGCAGTTTCTGAAGGAGATGATTAGGAAACCAAATCTGAAATCTAAGGAAATGCAAGCTATTATTCAAAGCAGATTCCATTGCAAGGTTTCATGGTCAAAATGTTATAGAACAAAGTGTAGGGAAATTTCTTTAATAGATGGAAAGTTGAATGATCACTATGCAAAAGTTTGGAATTATAGACATGAATTGATGAGGTCCAATCCAGGGAGTACAATTTAAATATCCGTCACTGTAAACCCTAATAACACTACCACTTTCCATAGAATGTATACATGTTTTAAGGCTATCAAAGAAGGATGGAAAGTTGGTTGTTGAAGAGTTATAGGGCTTGATGGGAGTTTTTTGAAAGGACAATGTAAAGGTGAGCTGCTAACTGCCATAGGGAGGGATGCAAATAACCATGTGTATCCCATTGCTTGGGCGGTAGTTGAAATTGATAACAAGCCCAAGTAGCAATGGTTCTTAGAACTATTACATGATGACCTGGAATTACAAGGAGGCTTGGATTTGTGTGTTATTTCTGATCAACACAAGGTAATGTTTTCAATTATCTCCTTTTTTCATTTCATTTATACATGGATCAAGCAGTTAGTAATGATATTTTTTACTGTAATTGATAGGGTCTTTTGGAAGCTGTAAAGGTTGTATTGCCACGTGTGGAGCACAGACAATGTGCAAGACATGTGTATGCAAATTTCAGAAAGGTCTTCAGTGGTATAGAGTTCAAGAATATGTTTTGGATAATTGCCAGGTCAACTGTTGAAGGGGACTTCAAATTGAATATGGAGAAGATCAAAGAAGTCAATCCTGCTGCTTATGATCATTTGATGGCAAGGGAGACTAAATCTTGGTGCATGGAATTTTTTAAAGGTGGAATGGCATGTGAGGCTGTTGAAAATGGAATGGCAGAGTGTTTTAATGCCATCATACTTGATGCCAGAAAGAAGCCTTTGTTGGCCATGCTTGAGGAGATTAGACTATATATGATGGAAAGGTTATTTAACTTGAAGCAAGAAGCACGTAAATGGGTGAATAATGTGTGTCCTGGAGCTATTAAGAAAATGGATGAGTTTGCTTTTGATATCAAGTAAGTATTATGTTCATCCTAGTGGTTTGAAATTGTTAATGTGTACACTAATTAAATTTGTTAATGTGTTTGCAGGACTTGGTTTGTTCATCCTAGTGGTTTGAATGCTTTTGAAGTGAGAAATGGCTTCCACTCATATGGAGTGAACTTAGAAGGGATGTACTGTACATGCAGACTTTGGGAGTTATCTGCGATCCCCTGTGTCCATGCCCAAGCAACCATAATTTACACATAACAGGATTCAACTAGATTCATCAGCACATGGTTTGGTAAGGACAAGTTCTTAACTACTTATGAGTCTAACATCCTTCCTATTAATGGTAGTAATATGTGGGAACCAACACCTTACACCAAACCACTACCACCTATTGAAAGAAGGATGCCAGGAAGGCCTTATATGAAAAGGAAAAAGCATGTCTCTGAGCATCAAGACAGGTTTTCCCAAGTCTCCTCTAAGGGTAGAACTGTCCAATGTCAGAAATGTATGCAAATGGGGCACAATAAAGCATCTTGCAATAATTCCTCAGTCCAACCAACACCAAAGCCTAAGAAGAAAAAAGGAAGGCCAAGGTTGAATCTAGAATTGACCAATTGCACTACACTTGGGAGAAGTGGTGGAAGAGGTGGAAGAGGTGGTAGAAGAGGGGGTAGAAGTGGTGGAAGATGGTCTACTAGTGTTTATGAAGAAGGTGAAAGTTCTGGGAAAAAAGAACCTGGGATTGAGACTCAATTTTTCACCTAAACGACACCTAATGTTGAGAGTCAATTTGTCACCCAAACAGCACCTACTGTTGACAGTGAACATGTACCAGAAACATAGGAAGCTGATGTTAACATTGATGATGAAGGTGATGGTATTGATATGGCTGATCTGGATCAAATACTAAGTGATTTGAGTTACCTTAGAGAGTTAAAATACAGTGAAGCAAAGATCATTATGTGTCTTAATATCACCCAATCACAACTGAAAGGATTTGATGCTTTGATTCACCAATCCTAACAAGCTACAAAGGTATATATTATAACATTGACAATGAATTTTATTTTTCAATAACATAACTAACTTGTATTCTTTCCAATGCAAGGATGTGCCTTATGTGAGTGAACATGAACCAAAAACACAGGAGGACAATGGTGAAGATGGAGCTGAAGAATCACAGGAGGACAATGATGAAGATGGAGCTGAAGAATCACAGGAGGATAATGATGAAGATGGAGCTGAGGATGATGAAGAAGGAGTTGATGATACCCAAGTTAGGGTTAGAACTCAAGTCAGGGTTAGAACAAGAAAATTTGTTAATAGGGATATGCCCTTTCTTTTGTAAACACTTTGGCTGATTTTGGTATGTTTTGTTGATGTATAACTTACATCCATTTTGTTCATTATGTTATATTGAAAAACATCCTTCATTTGCTCACATCATACACTTACAATTGTACATTGCTCAAACACTAGGTATCCAATAAACCATTTTTCATTCAACAACATACAACTTACATCCAACTGTCATTTAAAAGTTTTACAACAACTTAAAACTACTTCAACATAATCCACACAATCACCAACAAACAAAAAAAAAACCCCAATCTTCCATTTTTCACCTTCACCTTGTACAGGAACCTCTTGAATGCCATTGTTGTGAAAATTCACAGCTTCTTCCACAAATTCTTCCGCAAACTTATTGTGTACTTGAATGTCATTATTGTGAAACTCCATCAACAAGTTTCTGTACCAGTTGTTTGGTAATGGGGGAGTGACCCAAGCAAAATACTTGCAATCTTTTTCCTCATCCTGTTATATAGGAAATAAAACCTAATTGGAAGAGATTTGAGATGTAATTAAAGAGGTTTAAGGGATACTTACCCAGAAATTAGGGCAGCCGATGAACCTCCTGCCAGGGTTTGTTGGCCTCCATGATGTCCACTTACCAACGGGGTCATCACAAAAGTATGTTGCCCTTAATGCTTGCCTTCGTGATCGGATATTGCTCCTACTTCCCACTGAGCTTGAAGATGCCATTTTGCTTCGATGGAGTGTAAGAAGGGGTTTTTATAGAGGAGGAGTTGATGACGGGGTGTTTAATGGAAGGTGATAAGGTTAATGAGCTGGAGTAACCGGCTCTTATAAGGATTACCGGTTCTTAGGGCCAAACTGAGTGTATTAGCCGGTAATCTGTTCTTTTTCATAAGTAAAATTTAATTTAGGATTAAATCATAAATTAAGACAAAATTTTGGGACTTTTTTTGCAGATTTCTCTTCACAAGAAATCATATTAATAGTGTCACGAGTTCACCAACCCATTTAACACAATTAAACCCTGGAACCCACTCAACCCAAATGGAAGGAAATGTTTCCCACCGGTACCGGCACACAAACCCACAATGACTCCGTCTAAGAAAAAATATGTATCCTTTTCTATGTGGGCCAACCTCATCTTATAGAAACAATGGAACCTTTGACTATTAACATAATGTTCTTAAATATCTTAATAACACAATCTTGTGAACGCAATAACCCAAATAGAGATTAGATAAAGGGAAAACAGGATCCAAAATGTCACTGTCACTTTTTTCGTGATTATTGACTTGCTAGCCGTACCTGATCCTCACTTTGATTCTATTGGAAATTTGTATCTTAAAGATATATGTCTTTTCCCCTTTGAGCAGGCGGATTAGCATCCGATTAACATTAAACTAATCGACATGTTACAATCAGGTTGCAAGACATTGTATGGGGGAATGAATTAGACTGTATATTAACGATAACATTTTTACGTCCGGGATTATAACAATGTTTACTTCTGAGAAATTTGCTCTTCGTAAAGTTGTAGATGATAATCTTTCTGTTGCTCCATCCGAAACCAGGTCAAATCTCATAAAGGATCATCAGAAACCATTCCATAGCAACTTTGAAAATTTGGGTAAACTTTATTTCGATTTCACCTCACCTGGTGTTCAAAATACTTCGAAGGCTACAGATTTCCAGTTGAAAGAAGATGAAAAGGGCTCAGCTTTTTCATCTCTTGGGATTGTTAAAGACTATGCAAGCAGACCAAGAAAAATGAATGCCGATACGATGAATGTTCCAAGCTCTAACAATGAAGATCCTGAGACAAATGACCAAAAACTATCAACAACTGCAAGAATTCGAATGGCTAGCCAAGAGTTTATCGATTCATATTCTTCAAAAGATGATGAAACCTCCCAACTAAGCCACCCGTTTGCCGTTTCATTTTCTGGACTATCTGATGATGAAGCTAAAGACATCCAACTTCTGCTTACTCTTCTTGCCTCCGCTGAGAAAACCGGTCAAAAACAGTTTAAATGTGCTCTCAAACTCATCGAGTTATGCAGCAACATGTCGTTGAATGAAGGAAACCCTGTGGAAAGATTGGTTTACTACTTTTCTGAAGCTATTCATATGAAAATAAACCGTGAAATGGGAAGGTTGGCATGCAATGAACGTGAAAGTATGCAGATATTCGATCTTAGAGAAGCGTTGATGAACGTGGACACGTGCATCTCTGAGTTTCACCTGAAAGTTCCTTTATCACAAGTTTGTCAGTTCAGCTCGATTCATACAATATTCGAAAACTTGAATAAAGCTACTAAAATCCATGTAATTGATCTCGAAAGCTGCAGGGCTGGGATCCAATATTTAGTTTTGATGCAAGCGATCGCAAGTTGCAGTGAATGGCATATCGATCATATCAAGATAACCGCTGTAGCTACAAGTTCGGATCCCAAGATAAAAGATACCTGTAAGCCCAAGTCACTGTATCAACCATGAAACAACAAGCAATTTTCTGTGTATATTTTGAAATCTATGGCTTTGTGCAGGTAAACGTCTTGCTGACTTTGCAAAGTCGATGAACATTCCATTCAGTTTCAAGATAATTATGATAGGTGATGTGCTTGATTTCAATGTAGATATGATTGAACGCAATGAAGGTGAAAAGGTTGCGGTCTATGCGCCATTCTTCTTATCAACCCTAATTGCGAAACCGAAGAGTCTTGAATATCTTATGCGTGTGATTCGGAAGATCAAACCTTGTATAACGGTGATCACCGAAGTGGAAGCAAACCATACATCATCGGCTTTTGTTGATCGTTTCACCGAAGCTCTTTTCTTTTATGGTGCACTTTTTGACAGTATGTCCGATTGTTTAGCCGACGACGATCTGAATAGAAAGGTTATGGAGTCTGTATGCTATGGTAAAGCTATACGCAATATTGTGGCAGCTGATGGAGACGAGAGAACAATTCGACACATTTGCGTTGATGTTTGGAGGAAATTCTTTCAACGATTTGGGATGCTGGAAATTGAATTGACTGATGAAACATTGAATGAAACAAACTTGGTGATCGGTAACTTCAAATGTGGGAATTCTTGTTCGGTTCTTGTTGATGGTGGATGCTTTCTTGTTGAATGGAAAGGCGTACCCATCTTCTCTGTTTCTGCTTGGAAGTTTATATGACAAATGGGTTTCAAGTAATAAAGAATGCAATCTTATTTCTTTTAACCGTCTGTATGATGTATCTTTTGGGCATCCAGTATTCATTCAACTCTCCAAGAATTGAATGCAATGCCAACTATGAGAATGAATTACATAGTTTCTTTTTACATTAGAATGTTTAATGATACACATTAAACTCCATTTTCTCTCTCTTCTATATTATATTCAATTATGTTCTATTTAACATTTATTGAAAATGCTTTTATTATTAACTGTTTAATGTTTATATTATGATATATAGTATATGATTTGCTAGAAGTCACATTCTGCATTTAGCTTGGATCTTCTCAAGATCTTAAATCTTATCTAAATATCTTAACATATTTTATCTTTACTTTATTGATTTGTTTAGCAGGAACATCGGCTGGGAAGCACATGAGACAAAATCCTCGAAGACTATGTTGGGAAATCCAACAAACCAAATTAAGCACTTCAAACACATGACAAACAAACTTCTATAAAACTTGCAAAATAAAACTTTTAAAAACTATAAAATTTAACGATAATATTTAACGTGGTTCTGTCAATCTGATATATATCCATGGACTAACCATAGATGGTTTTATTAACTTCCAAGAACAATTACAATAATTCAACAAGTGATGCCCTAATTGTTAGCCAATCATAGTACGCCATGTCCATAAAGTGATGCCCTAATTGTGATGAGTCAGGCTCATCCATAATTAGCCCATAAAGTGATGCCCTAATTGTTAGCCAATCATAGTACGCCATGTCTTTCCTTTTAAACTTTTCAACTTTAGGGGATGTACATATCCACCTACCATGCATCATAGCACATTTAATAATTTTCCAAAAAGATCAATATCAACTCATTCTGAAATCCAACAACCCAATTATTGAGTGTCCAATACTTTTTTATTCCAGGAAGCGCTTTCTCCTTCGTAGTAGCGCTTTCTGATCCCCATAATTCTTTCTCAATAGTAGCAATATCTCTGGATTCCTGGAAGTGTATTCTCCAAATTCCCTAGCACTTTCTCTAAGTACCCGATCGCTTCAAGTACTTAGCATCATATTGCAAATGGGAGCATTCTGGCACTAAAGAGAGCATTTTTCACAAGGAGAGAACTCTACCAATAAAGAGCACATTCTCTCATTATGATAGATTTTTGCCACCAAAGAGAGAATTATGTCAAGAGTTCACACCTTAACAGTATCCCACTTTTTTTTTTTTTGAAAAGAAACAGTATCCCACTTGAAGTCTTGACCAGTTCATTCTTCTCTTCCAATCAACTCTTATTCATTCCTTACTTGCTTTCTCTCTCTCTCTCTCTCTCTCTCTCTCTTTCTTTCTTTCTTTCTCACTCCTACCAACACTTTCTATTAAAAATGTTGGAAAGGCAGTTGAAGCCATTCTTGGCTTCAACTTATTAGTGATAAAAACCTTAGTACACGCATCTTCCAAGTTCACCATGCTAAAAAATTCTCCAGCTTAGCAGCCTCTTGGTTCATGACCTTTAACTTCCTAGACAACTACATCTTAAGCCCATTGATTTTATATGTATCAGAACCAATAATCAACACAGCATCAACATTCAACATGAGGATGATGTAGGAGGAGCGAAATCTCTTAAGGTAACAACAATGACCAACCTTACGTCTCCAGTATCCACTCATATTCATGAAGGTGGCAAACTTTCAGTGCAACTACTGAGAAGTTTTCTTCATGCCATACATACTTTTTTTCATTAGATTCTTCTTACCAACTATAAGATCATTGTGTGGTTGTGCCTTGCATATGTCATCTTCCAAGTTATCATTGAAGATAAAAGCTCTATTTAAATTTAATC